CAAGCAGGGCTGGTGTGCTACTCTGTTTTCTAGTTTGGAAACACTTTGGTGCTCACCACCTGTTTCCTGGTTGATGTGATAAAGGATGAGAATGTGTGCACAGTTTTGTGTTTGCTGTTTGTGTCAAGCTGTTGAGGGTGGGTTGTGCTGGTGTTGGCTGCCATCTATCATTGATCAGTTGTGCAGAAGCAAGTAGTAGCCCTCCTCCAGTATCCAGTGGGTGGGGCGGAAAGAGGTGCAGATGTGATTGGGTACCATGGGCATGGTTGCTGACTCCCACCTGGTGGGACATAAAAACAAAACATCAGAAACATTGAGAACAAAAAGTACAAACAGCACAACAACAACAAAAAAATAATAAATGAAAAAGAAGAGGAAGAAAGACAACAACCACTACAAAAGAGAAAAATATGGGAAAAAATAATAATAATAAAAAAAGGAAAGGACAAAAAAGAAAAAACAAAAATATGGGTGGTGGGGTGGAGAAAAGAGAAAGAATAATTTTTTAAAAAGTACAAAAAGAAAACAAGAGATGGGAGAAAATCAGAAGAGAAAGAGAAGAAAATTAAGAAATAAGAAAAAAGTGAAAAAGAAAAGAAAAAAAGGCAAACTAAAATCAGGGAAGGGAAAGAAAAAAAGAAATGAGATAACTGAGGGTGGGGGCAGGCCATCCAGGAGGTGTTCCTGCTGGTGGAGCAGGCAGTAGAGAGCAGGGTACCTGGTCAAAGAAGGAGTTTTTGCCAGCCCACAAGGTGGCTGTAGCAGAATGCCTGGTTACAGAAGGAGTTCCTGCCAGCCTTGACGATTCCTGAGGACAGGGCACCTGGTCCCAATGAAGTTCCTGTCAGCCCAAAAGGTGGCTGGGGGCAGAACATCTGATTCCAGGAGGGATTCCTGCTGGCCCAAAAGGCAGCTGGGGCAGGGTGATTGGTGCCAGGAGGAGTTCCTGCCAGCTTAGATGGTGCCAGGGGCCAAGGTACCAAGGCCCAGATGAAGTCCATATCAGCCCAAAAGCTGTCTGGGGGCAGGGCACCTGATCCACAAGGGGTTTCTGCCAGCCTAAAAGGTAGCTAGGGACAAGGTGTCTGGACCTGGAAGAAGTTCCTGCCAGCCCAAAAGGTGGCTGGGGCCAAGGTGCCTGGTCCTGGAACAAGTTTCTGCCTGCCCAGAAGGTGGCTGGCGGCAGGGCTTCTAGTCTGGTATGGAATTTCTGCTGGTCGAGAAAGTGAGTGGGTGTGGGAGATGGCTGTATCTCTGGTCACTGGAAGAGTATAAGGAATAGGGGAAATATTATACCATTTTGGTCACCAGCTACCAGTGTAGATGTCTGTGTAGTCCTCAACAAATGGAACCGATTATCAGGTTGCTGCCTGATGAGAATGCAGCTTGCAAAAATTCAAAATAGCCATGCTCTCAGGCCAGTTGATAGTTCACAGCTCCATTTGTTTCCTTGTTTGCTGTTTTCATTCATCTTCTTCTTCTAGTCTTCTAGTATTTGATCCACTTCTTTATTCTCTCCTGTGAAGCTTAAGGTTCCAGTATTATCTGTATCATTTTCATTTTGGTTCTTGTTTCTTTGTTGTAGACGGCCTGGGTAGTTTGTCTCCCTTTTCCGCCATCTTGGCAGAAGGAGGACTTAAATCTTAAAGAATCTTTTAAGTATATAACAAGTAAGTCCTTTATCAGTCTAGTCCCTTCGCTCTCCTAAGTTTGTCTTAAAAATAGGATTTGTCATTTTTACCCATGTTTTATTTCTCAAGAATTTTGTAGAAATTCATATATAGAGAAAGACATATGAATTCAGCTTCTTCAAAATACTGAGTGAAGTATGAAATAACAAGTGCTGAATATGATCTGATAAACAGATTATGTGGTATTTCATCCAAATCCTGTGGCTTTCAGGGAGATTGTTTTTGTAATCTAATCTTCTCTTTTCCTTGTGTATTACTATTTTATTTATTTATTTTTTTGGTGAAAATATTCAAAATCAAACATATACCTATTCAACAATTCTACAAGTATAGATCATTGTTGTTAGTTACATTCTTGACACTGTCACCATTCTATCTCCACCCATATTGTTTCATCACCATTAACTTTTAGTGTCCCTTAATGTTCTCATCTGTGCTTGGGAGTTGCTGTTGTCATTTGGTTGCATATAGATTATTTTTTAAAAGAGCAAAACATTCAAGGCTGACATTTTTTTATCAGTTGAGCTAAAGTGTTGTTTTGTTTACAGATGGCTTCCTGATATTGTTTTGGTTCAGGGATTAAAGATTACTTCAGGACAGATTTTGTTGAGTATTCTTGTAGGAAACAAATGTGTGTATGCAGTGTTTGAGATCTGTTTATGATACTCAAGGATAACACACATGTCCCCACCTCAAAATGGCTCTCAGTGCAGGTATACCTCATTTTATTGCACTTTATTGTGCTTTGCAGATTCTATGTTTTTTGTGACAAATTGAAGGTTAGTGGTGCCCTGCATCAAGTAAGTCTATCAGTGCCAGTTTTTCAACAGCTCACTTCATATATCACTTTTTGGTGATTCTCAAAATATTTCAACTTTTTCAAATACTACTGCATACTTAGTAGACTACAGTATAGTGTAACCTGGGGAGCCAAAAAAACCTGTGTGACTTGCTTTATTGTGATACTCAGTTTATTGCGGTGTTCTGGAACCAAACTCACAATATATCAGAGATAGGCCTGGATTGATTGATTGATTGATTGATTATGGTTTGGGTGAAAGTTGACAGAGAAAATTAATTTTCCATTTGATAATTTATACACATTTTGTTTTGTAACACTGCTTGGAATGGTATGCCTATATTTAGAACTGTGAAAAAGTTTGGCTCACTTGACATAATGATCCCTAATACAGATGGATCTTGGCTCAAAGCAAAGAATACCAGAAAGATGTTTACTTGTGTTTTATTGACTATGCAAAGGCATTTGAATGTGTGGATCGTGACAAATTGTGGATAACATTGAGAAGAATGGAAATTCCAGAACATTTAGTTGTACTCACGAGGAACCTGTACATAGACCAGGAGGCTGTCGTTCGAACAGAACTAGAGGATACTGCATGGTTTAAAATCAGGAAGGAAGTGCGTCAGGGTTGTATCCTTTCACCGTACTTATTAAATCTGTATGCTGAGCAAATAATCCGAGAAGCTGGACTATATGAAGAAGAACATGGCATCAGGATCGGAGGAAGGCTAGTTAATAGTTAACAACCTGCGATACGCAGATGGCACAATTTAGCTTGCTGAAACTAAGGATGACTTGAAGAACTTACTGATGAAGATTGAAGACTACAGTCTGCAGTATGGATTACACCTCAATATAAAGAAAATAAAAATCCTCCCAACTGGACCAATTAAGCAGCATCACAATAAATGGAGAAAAGATTGAAGTTGTCGAAGACTTAATAATACTTGGTTCTACAGTCAGTGCCAATGGAAGCAGCAGCAGGACATCAAAAGATATATTACATCGGGCAAATCTGTTGCAAAAGACGTCTTTTAAGTGCTGAAGAGCAAAGATATCTCCTTGAAGACTAAGATGAGCTTAACCCAAGACAGGGTATTTTCAGTTGCCTCATATGCATGTGAGAGCTGGACAGTGAGTAAGGAAGACCAAAGAAGAGTTGATGCTTTTGAGATGCGGTGTTGGTGAAGAATGCTGAAGGTGCCATGGACTGCTAAAAGAACAAATCTGTCCTGGAATAAGTGCAGTAGGAATGCTCCTTGGTAGAGAATGGCCAGACTTTGTCTCATCTACTTTGGTCATGTTGTCAGAAGGGACTATTCTCTGGAGAAGGATTTCAATGCTTGGTAAAGTGGAGGGTCAACAAAAGAGGGTAAAGCCCCCAACAAGGTGGATGGACACAGTGGCTGCAGTGATGGGCTCAGGTGTAGTACGGATCGTGAGGCTGGCACAGGACCGGGCAGTGTTTCGTTCTGTTGTACATAGGGTTGCTGTGAGTCGGAGACAACTAAATGCCATGTAACAACAACAACAACAACACAACACATAATAGCAACAACTGCCAAGCAGACCAAAATATCCCTGCCTGCTTGTTGAAGACCTACTTGATTCATTGAGGCCAAACATAGTTTTTAATGTAGCTAAAGTAACAATCTTTAGCTGCAAAAGACCTCTTTAAAGTGCTGAAAAGCAAAGATGTCTCTTTGAAGACTAAGCTGCGCCTAACCCAAGCCATGGTGTTTTCAGTTGCCTAATGCACGTGAGAGCTGGACAACAAATAAGGAAGACTGAAGAAGAGTTGATGCTTTTGAATGATGGTGTTGGCAAAGAATACTGAATGTCCCATGGACTGCCAGAGAAACTAACAAATCTGTCCTGGAAGAAGGACCGGAATGCTCCTTAGAATCAAGAATGGCCAGACTTTGTCTCACCTAGTTTGGTCATGTTGTCAGAAGGGACCATTCCCTGGAGAAGGGTATCATGTGAAAAAGGAGAGGGCCCTCAACAAGATGGATTGATAACAGTGGCTGCAATGATGAGCTCAGGTATAACAAGGATTGTGAGGCTGGCGCAGGCCCAGGCAGTGTTTTGTTCTATTGTACATAGGGTTGCTATGAGTCGGAGCTGACTCGAAGGCTCTTAACAACAACAAAGTAACAGTCTGTTACCACTTCTTAATAGCTTATTGAGTTTTGAAATATGAGTTAAATTGGGTTTTCAAAAGAAATCTGTGTTTCTCACTCCATTTAAAACTAATATATGGAAATCTGAGTTAAATTGATTTTCATTTAAATGAAAGTATAAACTCTAAAAAAATTACAGAAAGTGATATGATGGATACCCATGTATGTATACCTGTGCCAAAAAGCTTTTCAGGAAGTATTTGACAGAATGATTCTTGGACAGAAATGGTCACACTAAGTTTTCTGTACCATAAGTCTTCATATGTTCTCTTTCTTTTGAATCTGTTGTAGCTAATTGTTGAAATTGCATCTTTCTCTTTTCAGGTGGTAGATTCTATGGATGCATTAGATAAAGTTGTCCAGGAAAGAGAAGATGCCCTAAGGCTTCTTCAGACTGGTCAAGAAAATGCTAGGCCTGGTGCTTGGAGAAGAGACATCTTTGGACGAATCATCTGGTACATACTTTGTGGCTCTTATGAACAAGAGTGGAAATCTCATTCCTCATTCCTCTAACCACTATCTTTAAAGAAAACTCTCACCATATAATACATATTCAAGATATATGTAATATAAGTAGAGGTCCCCCACTCCCGTTTTGAACTCCAGGATATGGATGAGGTAGCCTTGTCTGGTAAAACCAATACAAGCCCAGACACTCCATCCTCATGATTCACTTACCTATCAGTTTGTTTTAACAGTGGCTCTTAATCTTACACAAATCATCTGACCTTTGGAAAATTTAGTAAAAGTTATAGATCCTTTCCTCAGAAAAATGTACATATGTGCACATAATTTCACAGGGTTATATATTTCCATAAAGTTAATTTCAAGACACACACTTGCCTTTTTTGCCTGTTAAGAACCTGGGACTATTAAAAAAAGAAATTCTAGAGGAGTAAGGCTCATGACCCAGTCTCAGTTTGTTCCCATTGCCGTCAAGGTTAACCCTAGGCCAAATTAGGAAAGAATTTATTTTATGTCCCAGTCTCTCTTTTCATTGTATCTTTCTGCTTTTCATGACATCTTATCTCTCCTGTAACCAGGTCTCATAGTCCTTTCAGACCTTGGGAAAGGATCTGATGATAAACATCCACACTGAGGGTTTATTTTACATTTGAATTAAGCAACCAGAATAAATTAGTAGTTGCAGAATTTCAAATATTAGTCAGCAAAATGAGGAAGGTGTTTTTTGCAGCTAAATAATGGCAGCTCATTCATTTGATAATCTTTTAATGGAATTCATGGTAAAGGATCTGCTTAGTTCCACATTTAGGGGAGTAGCTGTAGCTACTCATCCACACAGAAAAGAAAAATTGCTGAAAACATCTCCCTGAAAACTTTTATGTTTTATTTACTGTTTTTCCTTTGTATTAATCTGGTTGTGGTCAAATAGGAAAAAGTGAAGGTAGAACGGAGAATCTGTATCCATTTGAAAGTCTCTAAGAGTGGAGCTCTGTTGGTGTAAGGCACTTGGTTGCTAACTGGAAGGTCAGCAGTCAAACCCACCAGCTGTTCCATGGAAGGAAGACCAGGCGATCTACTTCCATAAAGATTTACAGCCTTGGAAACCCAGCGGGGGTTGCTATGAGTTAGAAATGACTCGATGGCAGTGAGTTTGGTTTTTTTGAAGAGTGGTATTCTTTTCAAGAGTTTTTTATTTTTCAATTTTGCTTTTTAAGTTTCCCAGAGCTAAACAAAGTAGTGATTATAACAATTTTATCATCTTTCCAGTATAGCTTATTAACTCACATTATAATTCTGGTGCCTTTTCCTCATTGCATGCTAAAATACTTAAGATAGCTTTTAAATGCAGCGCTCCTTAAAAATATTGCATACGGATTTTTTTTTCTGTCAAAAAGAATATGTGACAGTCATGTCAGATTATGTTTATTTTTTTAAAGAGAATGATGTGAAGCAGAGATCAGAAAATACTAACATCAGTGCAGTTTTGTGATTGGGTTCCTGAGTGTCTACCTATATTTTGCTAAGTTTAGAATATTTCCTGATTTAAATCAGGAATTTTAAAATTAAAAAAATATATAAAAAGCTAATTTCATCTCATTTTATTGAAAACATATTTAGTCCAAAGAAGTTAAAACTGTTTCTAAAAAGTGAAAATGTATTCAGTGTTTTCTATAAGGTGATAGCTTTTTACTTTCTTGGCAGGCACAAGTTCAAGCAGTGGCCCATACCTTGGTACCTAAATAAACGGTACAATAGAAAACGATTCTTCGCAATGCCCTATGTGGACCGTTTTGTCAGGTGAGCACAGTGACCCTTTATGATGAAGCATATTGTCTCTACAACATATGACATATGTTGTTCCTTCTTTAAATTTTAATTTATTTTCTGTCTTCTTGAACTTTGCTATTAGTGCTGGGGCAAGAAGATATCTCATTGTTTTCATTTGCATCTTTCTAATGGCTAATGATCATGAACATTTCTTCATGTGTTTGTTGGCTGCCTCAGTATCATTCTTGGTGAAGTGTCTGCTCTTGTCTTCTGCACATTTTTAAATTGGAATTTCGTCTCTTTGATATTGAGGTGTTGAAATTGCCTATAAATTTTAGGGATAAGTCCCTCGTCAGATATGTCATTGCTGAATATTTTTTCCCAATCTGTAGGTGCTATTTTTACTCTTTTGGAGAAGTCTTTTGATGGTACAAGAATTTAATTTTTAGAAGGTCTTAGTCATCTAGTTTATCTTCTGCTGTTGTTTGGGCATTTTTAGTTATGTTTGATAGTCTGTTTATGCCATATATTAGGGATGCTAGGTTTGCCCCTATTTTTCCTTTGAAGACCAAGGTTTTAAATCTTTATGGAAGCAGACTGCCTCGGTGGGTTCGAACCGCCAATGTTTTGGTTAGCAGCTGAATGCATAACTACTGTGCCACAGGAAAAACCCATTGTGGTAGAGTCAGTTCCTGCTCATAGTGACCCTATAGGATACAGTAGAACACCCCATAGGGTTTCAAAGGCAAACCCACCAGCCACTCTGCAGAAGGAAGATGGGGCAATCTATTTCCGTAAAGATTTACCACCTTGGAAACCCAATGGGGGTCGCTGTGAGTCAGAATTAACTCCATGGCAATGAGAAATCTTTACAGAAACCAACTGACATATCTTTCTCCCAAGAAGCCGCTAATGGAACGAATCACCAACCTCCTGGTTAACAGCTGAGTGCTTAACAACTGTGCCACCAGGGCTCCTCATAGCCATTATAGTGGGTGTGAAGTGGTATTGTGGTTTTGATTTGCATTACCCTAATGACTAATGCTCGGAAGGAAGATGGGGCAATCTACTTCCGTAGTGATACTGCCTCGGAAACCCAAGGAGGAGGGGTCGCTATGAGTCGGGGCGACTCAACGGCAAACAAACAACAACAACAACATAATGACATAAGTAATACATGATTATTGTGGAAAAAATTTAAAAATCAGGTATAAAAGAAAATTGATGTCATACTACTTGTACATTTTCTCTTAGAAAGATCAGCCCAAGGGCAGTGCCCGTGAGGCAGAGGTTAAAGACATCCCAAATATCCAAACTGTTGTGCCTCTTCATCGTTTCAAACATTAACTTTTCCTCTCAGTAATCTCCCCCATCTTAGCGTTCTGTATTTCGCTTTAGCACCTCACAGAACTTATAGGCACCCAAGGGATCATCTCACATAGTGATGGTGGAGGCTGGAGGCTGGCAGGCTGGCAAGTCTCAGGTCTGTAAATAGGTCTGGAGGATCTTCCCAATTCGTGGGGTTTGACAAACCTCACTCAGCAGATCAGATGATGGCTGCTGTCCCAAATCCAGGGGTGAGATGACAGTGAGCCAAAACTCAGAACAGGAGCTAGAGGGAGGGCAAACCTTCCTAGAATCTAGATTCCTATATATACACTCAAGAAAACTAAGGGTGGTGATTTGAGCTACACCATCCAGCAAGGCATGACTCTATATCCCACCTATGCTGCTCTAACAGAAATACCCAAAGTGGATGACTTTAACAGTTAATCAGGAGTTTAAAAGCAGCTACTCAGTTGCTCACGGCAAATTCCACCATGGAGCCGATTGCCAGTTATTACAGGGAATAACTACTACCAGCTGCTCAGCCAAATTGACACTTGACCTTAACTACCACCCTAAACAGGCATGGATAATAGGATTTACAATACATCGCAAAATGGAGGACAATGGCTAGAAAGGCCATATCAGGTAATTCACTGCACATACATAATCTGACCATCCAGAAATAGCCACTGTTAACATTCTAATGTATATCATTTCAGAAGTTTTTTGCTTTTCTATGATGAGTGTCTAGATGGCAAAATCCTACTGTAATGTTAAAATGAAGATCCAAATAACTTATTAGCATCAACTATAAGCTCATTTTATTGCAAAATTGATGAAATTAATAGGGACAAGGGAGAGGAATGCAGCCTGTTGCAATATATCCGAATTCATGTTATCCTGGAGTGCATTATTGCAGGACTTTAGTATTTCAAAGAGCTTTGGTAGTATAGTGGTTAAAGCATTTGGCTGCTAACCAAAAGGTTGGCAGTTTGAATCCACCAGCTGCTTCACACTCCATGGGAGGAGGATGAGGCAGTCTGCTTCCATAAAGATTTACAACCTTGGAAACCCTATTAAGGGCAGTTCTCCTCTGTCCTATAGGGTCACTATGAGTCAGAATTTACTGGATGGCAGTGGGTTTAGTATATTTCAAACAAAACACTAAATCTACTGTTTTTGAATTAGATCTTTTTTCATTTGATCCTGAATATTTGCATTGGTAAGTCTCCTACAGCATAATGTTTTTGGGGAACTGTGATCTTTTAATTGTGATTTGGGTGAAAGTTTACAGAGCAAATTGGTTTTCCATTCAACAGTCCATATACATTCTGTTTTGTGACATTTACTGCAGTCCCCACACTGTACCAGCATTCTTCTCACTTCCCTACACCCATTCCTTCCCATCATTCTTCCTTACCATCCCCTCCCATCTTTCCAGCTCTATTCCTGGGCAGATACTGTCCTTTTGATTTTATATGCTTGATTATTTTTTTATTATTGCAGGGTTGTGTATGTAATAAGTATCATTTTTAATGCATACATTTAGTCTATGATGGGTTCCATAATGCATGCATACCCTCTTGAAATTGCTGTTCACCTTATAGGTCTATCCTTTGACTGCCCGTTGAGTCACAGGGTTTAAGTTCAGTTCCTAGCATGAACAGTGTCTAAGGGGATTCCACCAGTTTTCATCACACCAGGGTCTTTAGGATTTTGAGTTTTGTCCCATATTTACCCTACTCTGTCAGAGTCCTCTTATAGTGGTCCCTTTTGGAGTGGTCAGTAGTGGTAGCTGGGCACTATCTGGTTCTTCTGGTGTGAGTCGTGGTGGCTGGGATCATGTGCTTTGTTAATCCTTTGGGCTAATTGTTTCGTGTTTGATTTTCTTCACTCTTCTTTGCTCCAGATGGGGGCACCTTAGATGGCCACTCACAAACTTTAAGACTCCAGTTGCTACTCACTAAAGTAGGTTGTAGAACATTATCTTTGTGGACTGTGTTGTTAACTGACCTTTGTGTCCCTCAAGATTGGTCGTGTGCCTCCCTAACCAGTGACTCATTCCAAGGTGTTTGGTTATGTGATACTGCCTCGGAAACCCAAGGAGGGGTCGCTATGAGTTGGGGCCGACTCGACGGCACATAACAACAACAACAAGACGACATTTGCATAACTTTATCCCCTGTATGTTCTACTATATTCATGGATATATTTGTAGCACATATAAATATGTAAGTAGAAATAGTCTTTATCAAACCTATGTATATTTGTGGGTATAGTCCCATTTACCTTCCCACCCGTTCAGCTTGAGTGTCTATTTATGCATCCACTCCTAAGTTACTGTTATTACTATTATTGCAGGGTTGTGTATGTAGTAAGTATCATTTTTAATGCATACATTTAGTCTATGATGGGTTCCATAAGTTATTTTAACCTTATTATTTATTATTGGATAGAGAGGTGATTGCCAGGCTTTCACTAGTATCAGCAATGCTTTGTGGTAAATCTTACATCTTTTTAAAAAGGATTTAAGCTGATTTTGGCCCTGTCAGGAATGTAGTTGTTTCATGATTTAATATAGCCTATCATGCATCTATTCATAAGGTTTTCACTGGCAAATTCTTTGAGAAGTGGATGGCCCCTTCCTTCTTCCCAGGCTTAGTCTGGAAGCTCTGCTGAAACCTGTCCACTATGGGTGATCCAGCTGGCATTTGAAAGACTGATGGCATAGCTTCCAGCCTCATAGAAACACACAAGTCACCATAGTACAACAACAAAAAAAATCATTGTAATGCACTGGACAAATCTGCAAAAGACCACTGTAAAGTGCTGAAAAGCAGAGATTTCAATTTGAAGACTAAGGTACACCTAATCAAAAAAAACCCAAAAACCAAACTCACTGCCATGGAGTCGGATGTGATTCATAGCGACCCCTCCTTGGGTTTCCGAGGCAGTTTCACTACAGAAGTAGATTGTGATCTAACCCAAGCCATGGTTAAGTTGCCTCATGTTCATGTGAAAGGACAGGAGTTGATGCTTTGAATTGTGGTGTTGGCAAAGAGTACTGAAAATACCATGGACTACCACGGCACATAACAACAACAACAACCAGAAGAACTAACATATTTGTCCTGAAAGACAGCAGCTGGAATGCTCCTTGGAAGCGAGAATGGCCAGACTTCATCTCACTTACTTTGGTCATGTTGTCCATTTCCTGGTGAAGGATATCATGCTTGGTAAAGGGGAAGAACAGCAAAAAAAAGGGAAGACCTTCAACAAGATGGATTGACACAGTAGTTGCAATGATTGGCTCAAGGATAGCAAGGATTTTGAGGATGGTGTATGACTGGGCAGTGTTTCGTTCTGCTGTACATAGTGTTGTTGTGAGTTGGAGCTGACTCAAGGGCATCTGAATAACAACACAGTGCATCTTGAGGGAGCTCTGGTGGCACTGTTGTTAAAGCATTAGGCTGCAAACCAAAAAGGTGTGCAGTTCAAACCCCCTAGCTGCTCTGGGGGAGAAAGATGTGGCAGTCTGTTTCCATAAAGAGTTACAGCCTTGGGAACCCTATGGGTGGCTCTGAGTCACAACTTGCAGTGGCAGTGGGGTTTTTTATTCCTATTTTAAGATCCAGTTCAAATACTAAGCAATTGAAATCTAATTGTACTGTTGTATAAAGAGTCGCGATGAAAAAGAGTCGCTATGTTGTACATCGGGTTGCTGAGTCAGAGCTGACTCGAAGGCACCTAACAACAAACTGCACTGGCTGTTTTTGCCATGCTTTCGGTTGTACCATGTAATCCCTTTGCCCCTTGTCATATAAGGTAAAGCTGTAAGTAACATGACATTTAAAACAACGTATGAGAACTTAGCAAGTGCCACCTTTATAGGCTATATATGTACTCTAGCAATTGTATTTTTGAAACTACTTTTTTAAACCCTATCTTCAGACCATGCAGCATAATTTCTGAAGTCTTAAAAATAACAAAACTTTCTTCTTTCAGATGGGTTTATTTCTTGTGTAAATGACAGATTTTAGTTGGAGCAAAGATTGATAGCAATCTTATTTTGACTTTAAGGGTAGCTCATAGTTCCGTATATTTTGGTTACCCAGATATAACACATTAAAAAGTTAATCTCAAATTTGTCACCTCCCCCATAGCACTGGCTTATTTCAGTCATTCAGAATGTCTCCAAATTGTATTATCTCCTATAAATTTATGCCTACTGATCAATAAAATATCCTGTAAAATATCAATTGAGATACAGTAGAGGCTGGGCATCCATGAATTTATCATTTGCAATTTTGATGACTCCCCACGTGACCCTAAGGACTGTAGCATAATGTAACTGAGGCATAAATGCTTCATATTCAGGGACCCTGATGTGTGGGAGCAAACTCAAGAGTGTGGTGAATCTATCCAGCTTCTGAGTATCGTCTCAGCCTAGTTTATCATCTCTATTCTAAGGGAAATGATTACTATTTGAAATTAGGGAATTCCAAAGGTTTCAGGATACCAAAGACCTAATTAATGTATTCAATACAATTAGTGTTTCCAAAACAAGGTAGAAAGCCTTAGTCGTATCGGGATTGAACTTCAGGCCCAGTCTGTTACAAGTTTACAAGAACTGTACGTTCTTTCCAGTGAGGAAATAGGAAGGAAAGTGTAGAATTACAAGTGATTTTGATTTTAGATTTTTCACTTGACTTGTGTAGGTTTACAGTGATTATTATTGTTTAAGTTTAATAATGTATATGGTACGCCAACTACAAAGATTGGCATGATTAAGGCTTTTAAACAGTTGATTTGGGTATATTCTTTTTAACAGTATCGAGTAACAAGGAAATAGTTTTGTATAAATTATTATGCTTTTTTCATTCTAGACTAAGACTTGAGAAACATATCCGCAGTGAATCAAAGAAGAAAAGCTTAAAGAAAAAGCAAGAAAAATTTCTTCAAGAAAAGTTTCCACGTCTTTCTGAAGCCCAGAAGTCAAGTCTTGCCTAAGATGTCTGAACTCTTAATATTTTGTTTTGCAGGAGTAATAGTTTACATATAAAAGTAAATACATGTTATGTGGTTTATAAAGAACTTGCTTTTTTCAGTAAATGACTTAAGTTTATGTACCATTTGTTCTAAGTGTTCATTTAAGGTGGGAGTGCTAATTCTAGAAGTGGTCTTGCTTCTACCAAATTTTTAAAAATCAAGTATAATGTTCAGATTAAATTCCCTTTTTATAAATTGACATCTAAGCAATTTTAATAAAACCTGCTAAGCGTAAAAGTGATGTCTGCTGCTATAACATAGGCAATAAAGTAGGGTTTTTTTTCTTCCAGTTTTTAATAGGACTTGAAGGAGATTTGAGTACTGTTCATAAGCAATGAATTATTTCAAAATAATGATAAATGCACTTAGTACTTGAAAGTAGGTAGTCCTAACACACAACAATATAGAAGTACTTCTGGAATAGCCAATAATTTTTATTTAATTTTGCAAGCCTGAGGTAAAAAGCATAGGCAGTAAGTTGTACTAGTCAATAAAAAGCAATTCTACCAGTCCACTTATAAGATACTCAACAGAGTTGGAAAGCATTTTACTGAAAGCAAAGTATTTAGAGAAAATAGATATTTATACAAAATTATAAAATGCTTGTAATAAGAATAAGTGCATCTCAAGGAAAGCACAAACTCATTTTAATTTATAGAGCAAGTTAAAGCCTTAAAAAATTTAAGTGAAAATTGAAATATGCAAAAATGTATAAACTTTCTACAAAAGATGGTCATTCTTTTCCTGAGTATACTAAAGCTATGAAACGTAAGGTGACACAGGAAGGTAGAGCTTTGGAAACACTTCATGGGCATTTCCTTTCTACACACTGCTTCCCTCCCTCTTCATATTCTTGTTTGGAAATCCACATTTGTTGAAAGGTACCCTGTAAAATGGAAAGGAAAATTATGTATGTAATTATGCTTTACTAGAATCTTTATTTCTAAAAGATAATCTTTGAAGAATCTTTAAACCAAACCCTTTCCCCACAAAGTAATAATCCATTACTCACCTTATTTCTGCTCCTCTCCAGAGCAAGGGTACAAAGAATATTAAACCTTTCTATACCTGTTATAGGGGCTCTGGTGGCCTAGTGCCTAAGGTATTTGACTGCTAACCAGAAGGCTGCAGTTCAAACCCACCAGCCACTCCTTGGAAGGAAGGTTGGGCAATCTACTTCCATAGTGATACTGCCTTGGAAATCCAAGGAGGGGTCACTATGAGTCAGATTTGACTCGACAGCAGTGTGTTATTGTTGTTTATACCTGTTACATTGTCATGAGGATTTAGAAAATGGCTGGCAAGGAACACTAAGAACTTAGTTATGATGGTTTGGTGCCAACCTAAGGCAACAACAGAAATTGTTGGAAAAGTTTGATCCTAGTACAAAACTGAAAAGAATGATGGTCACATTTATAATTCAAAAGTGCTCATGTGAACTTGGGTGTGGTTTTGCAAGTACACGTGACAGTATACGGACACTATACCACAAACAGGTGAGGGGAGGGAAGAGACCACAGTCAGAAGAAACCTGGACTATATAATTATAGGGCATGTAAGGAGGAGAAATGCATTCCCAGTGATTAACTTTTTATTCAAGTAGATTCACATGTGGAATCCAGTTTTGATCTCTCATCTATTAAGAAATGAAAATAGAATATATACAAATCATACCACTAAACAAAAGTTAAAAATAACTAACCACCTAAAAATATTTAGCCTAAGTACTTGGTGACATTTACTTTGGCTGCTCTGAGGGGGAAAGGGAAAGGGAGTACAGATGAGTACAAGGTCTGTTTTTCCTGATTCAAGACAGCCACCAATCTAAGCAGCATGAGACCCATCACCATGACTTCACTATTTGCCCCAAGATCCAATTCCTGACTTCCTCTATCTCACCAACAGGCTAAGAAAGTGATTTAATATTAAATGTATTACAGCCAAGTTTTAACCAGTGCCAATGAAGGTATTAAAAGAGGCATGAAGTAGTTAACAGATTTCCACCTGTTTGAGGAGACACTGAAATTAGACTAGCAAATACCCATTAATAAGACTGTGAAACACTTTGTTGTATGTATTGTTATTAGATACCACTGAGTGTAGAAATGTCCCATATGGTTTTCTAGGCTGTACTCTATGGGAGCAGATCACCACGTCTTTCTCCCGCAGAGCTGAGTGGGTTCAACCTACCAACTTTTCAAGTTAGTAACCAAGTGCTTAACTGTTGTGCCACCAGGGCTCTTTCTGTTACATTAGACCATGTAAAACTGGTATTCCTAGTCTCTCTACTAATTTGATAGTTATGAAATGCAAAGATAAATGATATGCAGGAATTATGCTTAGTATTTTTACTAAATTTGGTGTTTTGGGGGTACATTTATATATGTTAAACCATTTGGTAAGAATCTTAAAACAGTTTTTCAGAGTAGCTGATCTACTAACCAAAGAAGCTAGAATGGAGCCGCCAATCCAGGAACTAAACCTCCGTTCCACTGTCGTATTATTTGCAATCAGTTTCAACCGCATGCTCTAAAGTAGAGACCGAAGAAAAAGCATTATTAGTGCAGTCAAATAAAACAGGAGACTCAAGTTAGGAAATTTAGTTTTGGTGAAGATTATCTAGCCTAATAGTAGGCATAGGTTAGACATACTATATATCAACTTTAGAAAACTGCATACTAGTATGGCATTCAGTTTTTACCCTATAATAGCAAACACATATAACACTACTATCTGTAAGTCACATACTGTACTAAGTGCTTTACACATTATTTCAACTCTTAGAAATGTACTTATCATACTAATCTGCCTCTCTTTCTGTAGTCCTCCCCAACCTTTTTGAAGCACCTCTTTTTCCAGGCCTTCATGCTATCTTAATGCCTTCTCTCTGGAGCTCCCTTCTTTCCCTTCTCTGCCCCCCACCCCCACACCACCCACCTTTCCAAATCAAAATTCAGTCTAGTCATCAGTCTTAGGTAAGTTTTTATTCATACAATTTTTCCTTCAAATTAAGGTGTTTGAAACTTCACACTCTCTTTTGATAAACATAATTATATGACTGGGTACTATCCCTTGTCTTACTTCCTATATCAAGAGATCCCTCCCCCCCGTGTCTAAGAATCTTCCTGTCAGGACAGTTCTCATGTTGACATTTTCTAATTTCTATATATAAACACAGTTTGACTCTCTTGCACAGTGAAAACAGTGGAAGAGGGGATGCTAGGGGCAGGAGGGGTGAACAAAGTTGAGCTGGATAGGTAATAATGTGACATGTAAGTAGGAAAAAACCCATTCCCTGTGATTAACTTTTTGTTCAAGTAGATTCGTATACGGAATCCAGTTTTGATCTCCAATCTATTAAGAGATGAAAATAGAGCACAGACTAGAAATACATAAATGGAATTTTCTTTTACCTTTTGTTTGTTTTTTAATTGCCTCCTGTGGTAGTTAAGGTTATGTGTCAACATGGCTGGGCCTGGTTGAGTGGCTGGGAAGCTAGATGTACTTATCCCCCATGGTGAGATTGGTAATTAACTCCATGGTGGACTCTATTGGAGCAGCTGAGTAGCTGCTTTAGGGATGTGGGCTGCTTCCAGTATATAAGAAGCAACTGTGAGGAAGGTCTCCAGCTTTTTTGCATGCTTGGATCCTGCATATAGCCAAGTCTTCATTCAGCAGCTTACCACGCTCTGCTGATCTTGGGACTTTTAACTGACTTGAATCAATGGCCTGCTGTGTGATTTGATAATATCAGGACTGTGCCTTTTCACTTGTCACCCTTGGGTTTGTCAGCCTCAGCAGCCAACAGCTGCCTGAGTGAAGAGATGCCTCTAGCTTCAGTGGGCTGGGAGGTGGAGGCAGAGCTGAAGCCCAAGGTAGAAGGCCTTTTATCCAGCCCCTAGAGCTTGGCACGTGGAATGGACTTCTAGACTCCAGAATTATAAGAGAATAAACTCTTGTTTGTTAAAGCCATCCCATTTGTGGTATATTCCTGTATGAGTGGTACTAGGTAACCAGAACACCTTCTAAAGAACAAGGATAAGAAGCTCTGGTGATGGAGTGTGTAAGACATTAGGCTTCTAACCAAAAGGTGAGTAGTTCAAACCCACCAGCCAATCAATCAGAAGAAAGATGAGCCAGTCTGTTTCCATAAAGCTTTACAGCATTAGAAACCTAATGGGGTTTGCTATGAGTCAGCTGATTCAATGGTGTGAGTTTTTTTTTTTTTTTTAAATCACAAGAATAGCATCTAAGTGGTCTTGCCAGTATCTTAGATAGCCTCTGTCTATATTCATTATCTAGAGCCTCTTAGTGCAATCTATTGCTACTGTAACTGAGGTATTATTCTCCAGATGAGACATCTCCAAAAATGTAGTAAACACAGGCATTGTCAACCTTGTGCCTGTATCAATATTGAAATACTAATTTCAGTTATAAAAGTTAGCTACTGAAAGTGACATCCATAAAACATTCCTCTATATGGGAAGCCAGATAGACTATTAAATATGAAAATTCTACAGAGACTGTTTGAGCCTATGTAACTTCTAATTTTTTTTTAAATTTAGTATTTAGTGTAGAACACCTTACAAAAAACCACTTGATTCTACAGAAGTTTTCAAATTTAATGATTATGACATCCATTCTTTTACTGATGTACCATATAAATGACCAAACCAGGTTCTTTCATCCTTTCAGATTAGCAGTTAGCATAGTGCACCCAGTTAGTGATCTTTTTAAAACAAATGTATGAGCTCATCAGTCCTCTGCCAGATTTTATTTTATCAGTTTATGATCTTTGGATACAACCCAGACGACTCCTTAATAAAACATGAGCTGGTACTCATGCATCCTTCCAGCCATCATGCTCTCCTTACTTCCTCAGCAAAAACTAAGCCAGCTAATTTGAGTTACTGGAACATACTTTCTTCCCTTCATACTTTTGCACATGCTATTCCCTCCATCTGGATGTCCTTTCATAAATTACCAACCAGTTGAACACCTCTTCATTCTTTCAAACAGCTTCTTCATAAAGCTTTCCTAATATTCCCAGGGAGCTATGTGCCTGCATTTCTGTTCCCAAGAGCACTTAGTTCATGCCTCACTGAAGCAATTAGCACATTATAGTCATCATTTGTTTGCATGTCTAAACATCCTAATAGACTGAATGTAGTGGGTGAAGACTATTAAGTATGGAATCACTGGATAAAATGAGATTTAAACAGTTCAAGAGTAATAATGGATATCACCTAGGAAAATCTGATAAATAAGGGATGGATATTAACTATATTAAAGTAATACTATACTGAGCACACAAAATATGAATCTACTGAAAAATAAGCACTTATCTGTAAAACCGCACCATCACCGAGAATACATAAGATAGAAGAACACTACTGAATAACAAACAAAACTCACTGGGGGAGTTTTTTGAGAAAGCTCTCTATTCAACCTGTCAGTAAAGCTCTGTATTAGCGTGTTTCCTCCTGCCACTATCACACTGCCATAGAGACCCTAGATAAAAAGCAAGAAAAATAAATTAGTTCCAAATGTTTCTAACAGTTTTAAACACTGCTACAAATAAAAGTCCTCCACACAATTTTCCATTTTTTTTTCTTGAAAAAGTTTTACTTCTGTATAGATGGGGTACATTAATACAGGTAGTTAGTTCTCAATCCTGGCCGTGTAGTTGGCTCATCTGGGGAGCTTTGAAAACACTAATGTCTACCAATATAAATATCTCTGGGAGTGGGGTCTGACAAAATTTATGTTCATTTGTTAAAGACCATTACCTTAAATTAATTATTCTAAAATCCAATCATAATTCATTGGCAGGTGGCTGCCAATATTCAATTAGTTAGCAGTCCATTTTATAATGATTTCATCTTCAAATGCTCATCTGGAAGTTATAATATTTGAAATTCAATAAAGATTATTTTATGATTAGGATAGACAATGACATAACGTCTACTCTAAAAATATTTCAGCCAAAATGATGGTTACCTTCCTCTTTTGCATCAAAACCACATGGGGAGCTTTTTCAAAATATATATGCTATGGCCTCCCCAGATGAAAATAATAAATTAATTCCTAGTTACAAGGAGCATATTTCTTTCTAACTTCAATTATTATATGCATCAAAACATTAAATGTCAGCCTGCTTTTTTGATAGCTAAGTTCATTATTATTTCAAATATAGTTTTTAACATGATTTTTTTATACACCCTTAGCTGTTAGACTATGCTCTAAGCAAATAAATTAATTCAAATTAAAGAAAAACCAAGGCAGTATGTGGGCTACAAGCTGAATCTTAAGTTTAAGTAAGAAACAGTCAATCTAATAATAAATAACATGAAGTTAGTGTTTTAAAACTGACAAAACACAAGAAATGTGAAGGTAAGATCATTTAAAATAAATTCCATGTTAAAGTTATTCATAATTCACACCAAACTTTCCTAAAAAATAAAAGTGGAAGTAAAATTATTCTTACATAAAGAAAAAATCACCATTAATACTTATTTTGTACATTTTAGGAAATTTCTAAAGCAGCACTGTCCAACAGAATTTTCTGTGATGTCAGAAATGCTCTATAGCTGTGCTACCCGATACAGAAGCCACTAACCACATCTATAACATGGCTAGTGCAAATGAAGAAGTACATTTAAAAATTTTATGTTCTGTTAATAAATTTAAATAGCCACCTGTGGACTGGTGGCTATTCCACAGGACAGCACATCTTTAAAGTTTTGCCTTTTCTTTTGGTCAAAGTATTCATACCAAAAGAGGTTTCCATTCAACAACTGCTACACACTATTCAGTGATATTAGTTACACTCTTCACATTGTGTCAACATTCTCATTATTTCTAGTTGTTCTATTCCCATTAACTCAGTCTCACTGGCCCTCAACCTTCTCATCCATGCTTTAGAGAAACTGTTAACCAGATGTTCTCATAGTGGTAATTTTTAAAAGCATGCAATAGTACTAAAGGGTGACATTCTTTAGTTTTTGAGCTAACCTGCTCTTTAGTTACAAGGTGACTTCAGGGGATAGTTTCAGTTCAAGGTTTGAAGAATATCTCAGGGGAATAGTCTCAGGGATTCCTCCCTTCTCAATGGGCTCAGTAAGTCTGCACTGATAATCTGAAGTTCTGTTCCACATTATTTTCCCTTTCTGTCAAGTTCCATTTATTTTGACCCTGCTCAGAACGGTCAGTAGTGGTAGCGAGGCACCATCTAGTTCTTCCAGTCTGAGTAGAGGATGCTGTGATTCACGAAGACAATGAGTCCTACAGACAAGTTCTTATTCTTGAGTTTCCCGCTTTCTCTTTTGCTCCAGATGAAGAGACAAGTAGTTATATCTTAGATGGCTGGCTGCTTGTAAGCTTTTAAGATACCAGACACTACTCACTGAACTAGGGTGTAGAAAATAAACTTCAGAAACTACATTATGTCAAATGACCAAGTTGTCCCACGAGGCTACGACTCTGTCTTCAAATCAAGAAAACTAATTCTCAGGGAGTGTACCCAAGACCATGTATAGGGTTGTCAGACAATGGTTCTACAAGTATATCTGTATCTCCTGTAAGAATTCCCAGGTGTATAGTAGAGCTGACAAGGGACAAGGTTGTAGCCACTTCTTGGGCACAGCCAGCTACCCAGAGGAAGCGAGGAAATGAACCTGTGGGCTCAGGATCATAGTCACAGTGGCCATCAAGCTCAATTGGCATAACACACTACACAAAACATTGCTCTACCTCCTACTTTGGCGAGTAGCGACTGGGATCTTAAAAGCTTGCAAGCAGCCATCTAGATGTAATGATGGGTCTCTCCTCATCCAGAGCAAAGAAGAATGAAGAAAACCAAAGATTCATGGAAACAATTAGTTTTTGCAACTGGTACACCATGCGATCCTCAGCCTATACGACTATGAGACCAGAAGAACTAGATGGTGCCTGGCTACCACTGTCAACCACTCAGAGGGGGATCTATGTAGGAGATCCTGGATAGAGAGGGAGGAACAATGTAGAACAAAACTCAAAATCATTTGGGGGGGAAAAATGGGGGGACCAGGTTTGCTGGTCTGATAGAGCTTGGTGGAACCCCTGAGACTAAGGTCCCTAACTGCCCTTCAGGTCTGGAATTGAACCCACACTTGTGGCTTCCAGCCAAATAAAAGATAGGCATAAGAGTTGAACATGTACCTGAGGTAGATACATCCCTTGAAGAGAACAATCATGGGATAAAGAAGGGCTGTTTATGTACAAGCAGAGAGTTCAGGGGCCAGGAGTGCATGGAGGGATAAACACAGGGAAGAGATAACTATTGGGAAGAAGTGGGAGGGAGGTGTTGCATTGGGGTAAACTGTCAATGTCATCAGACAACGTGTATGTGAACTGCTGTATGGAAAGTGAATTTGCTCTGTAAACTTTCACCCAAATCACAATAAAAAACAAAACTAATTCTGTGAGATGACTGGACATGGGTATGTCTATGAGTATCAGCATCTGTAGCCCCTATACACGTGTCTGTGAGTGTGTGTAATTAATTTTTTTTTTTGGTTATTTTTGTTGCAAGAGTATATGGAACAGAGTATTGACCACTACATTGCTCTACCTGTGACTATTTAATCATAGCAGTCAGTTAAGCTGCGCTTACTTGACCTACATTCAATGCTACCTTTCTTATCACCATAAACAAAAAGTGAGTACTATATAGAGAGTGACTCCCCCTCTTCCCACCCTCCTCACCCTTGGCAACCACCAGCGAACACTGGCCTCTGTATACACTTATCATTTCCTAAAACAGATCATATAGTATTTGTCCTTTTGCGATTGACTTATTTCACTCAGTATAATGTCTTCTAAGTTCATTCATATTGCAAGATGTTTCAGAAACTCATTTAAATTTACAGCTGTCTAGTATGCTTTATCTTTTTACATATTCTGTTATATAATATGGACCTCAAACCTAATGGCCAAAGCTGCCAACATAACAATGTTTGGGTATTTCACTGTCCTAAAAGATACATTTATACAACAGACAGATTGGCACTTACTGGTCTGATATCAATATCACACATTCCAACACTTGTCGTGACAACATGACTGACCCCCAGCATTGTATTTCCTGATAACCCCTACAACAAAATGAAACAAGCAGTCAAATGTAAGAACATCATACAATAAAGTATATCCAAAATTTTTGGTCAGTCTCACCTGGGCTTATAATTACATAAATTCTTTACATACATAGGAAAAGCCAAGCTAATTAAGAATTAAGCTTTCATACCTTTACATTGGAAGGGTCAAATAATCCTTCAGGAATCTTTAGCCTCTCTGCACCAAAATCACAGTTGTAACCATTGGGGAATTCATAATGAACTGTTGGCATCTGTGCTGCTACTCTGAAAACATATTAAACAATATGAAATAAAAGACAGAAAGAATCTTCTTCAAAATTATAAATTACTAAGAAACCATCATCTTGGAAGAATCAGAGTGCAAATATTCTAAATTATCAGTATCTCAACATAACTTTGTACCTCTAAGGCAGTTAAGCACATACTACAATTCTGTTCTTGCTTTGTTCTGTTTTAGTTAAATAAATGAATCTTTTCTGTATCCTTCTAAAATCATGAATACATCTTTTAATATAAATGAAAAATAAGCTCATTTATGAAGTATATAGTTTTTTAAAAGATTCATATGAAAGTTTTCATGCACTATTAAATTAAAAGTCATTTAGATGAAATAGGAAAACATACTGTTCATCATAAGTTGAGTCTGATACTTGAAGTACTGAAGCTTGAAAATCCTGGATAACACACTAGAAACAAAAAAAACAACCATTATTGAGATTTGTCTTTGTAATCTATCTTTTGTAAAGTTATATTTACATACTTTTCTGAGTGAAACTGGACCAAGTTTCTGGATGGGTCAGTCATTTCCAGGTTATAAACCTACCTAGCAAGGCCTCAATGTTCTTAAATACCAAGAAATCCAATTCTAAATATTTGTGTTAGGTATTAAATTACGTAACATTTAAATGACAAGTTCTGGAACAATAATAAGCAAAAAAATAACTGGGAACCCTGTACCACAGTTCTGCATAACAAAACCAATTTCAGAATACCATTTTTTACTAAGCTTAGACTTAGAAGCAGGATTTTATTACCTGAATATATACACATGTATATTTATATACTGTATATATTTAACTTTAAATTTTGCTGTGAAATACACATTGCTCCACAGGCTGCTAAGGAAAAATCTAATAATACCTAAGCAAAATTATTACTTATCCTCACAAATTCTCATAATTTTGCCTTGTACTAACGTCCATGAAAATTTTTATCGTTCTTTCACCCAGATCACAATAAAAAGGTTTTTTTTTTAAAAAAATCTTTATCTTTCTTTAGATGCACAAAACTGTCATAAAGGATATAGCCCTGCTATAATCCATATAAGGAGCTCTGGTGGCATAGTGAGTAAGAAATTAGGCTGCCAACCAAAAGGTTGGCTGTTCCAACCCACCAGCTGCTCCACAGGAGAAACACAAGACAGTCTGTGTCTGTAAAGATTTATAGCCTTGGAACCCTATGGGGCTATGAGTTAGAATCAACTCAAAGGCGGTGGGTTTGGCTTGTTTTTTTTTTTTTTAATATAATAAATACGGTTTTCATATCCTTTTACTACTAGAAATTAATGTATATCTGTGGGGTGTGAAGTAGTTTTCCTAACCTCTTCACCTGTCAGTAAATCACAGATGGATTTTAATAAAGACTGTCTCCTTGCTATGAACAATGATATGCATTTTTCATATGGCTGATTAATGTTAGGGAGAAAAACACACTTGAGCCATACTAGTGGGTCTCTACAGAAAGTAAAACTGTGTTCTTAGCCAAAAAATGTAAATGTTATTATAGACTAGCTGAATGCTGGTTTCTATCTCAAAATAAAAATTCCCTTCCACGTCTTCAGACACCACAGTGCCCAAAATGAGTTGTCTATAAAGGTTTTCACCAAATTTGAAAAGCATCCCAAGTAAACTATTTTAAGCATTTTATTTGTAAATATAGAGCGTGAAAATATAAAGTGGCCAGATTCTATTCAAGGACTTTCAGCCTTTAATATTCTCTTAGAGGGAAAAAAGGTTACTTACATTACACATGTAATTGTGCCAAGACCTCGTAACCTGTGGCAACTTCTCTTTTCTTTTCCAGTTTGCTGGAGATCCTTCACGGACAGCTTCCTGAAGATACAAAGAGCATGCGCTAGGTTAATAAAGTTCACAACGTGGGGGTAGGGAGCTGGACATAAATTTCACAAAGAAAATTCAACCATTACTTACTTTTGATGCAATCATATAGGGAGGGATCAATTCTATATTCATTTCTTGAAAGAGTTCTCTGCATTGCATAGTAATAAAGTCTCCAGCAAGAGGGGATTTCACAATGCCTATGGAAAATTAAAAAGGGGTAAGAGATCATTAAGTCCAAACTCCCTGGGACAAATTTTTCTGGGTATGTTTACATATAATTTTTTCAAATAGAATTAACTAAGATGTCCCTTAAAGCATGAATGAGGCCATACTTCGCAACATTAATCAGTTTTGGTTACACATCTTAAAGTATTTTAAAAAACACTCTTAATAAAAAACATTATTTAGCAACTGTTATGCTTTAATAGTCCAAGTCAATGTTTATTACCTGTGTCCTCAGAACACCTAAAATCATCCCAGTGTATGTAATGAAATACATTTACCTTGCTGAAGGACATAGCCATCATGGACTGGAATTGCAGTGGTATGAGTGGCTCCACTGTCCAAAATCAGCCCAGTAGAACGACCATTAGCAAATCTAGTTTTAAAGTATTAAGGAAAAGAACACATCAAGGCTCCTAAAATAATGTTTATTGTGAAAGACAGGCTCTTAGCACAATTATTATAACTCATTTTTTAAAAATATGAACATTATAGTTTAAAATGTGTTAAAGTAAATCTTGGTATGAAAATATTAATTCTGGTTTAAAAATAAATCACAAGAGGTGGGACTTTCAGCATGATGTCATTAGGAGCTTAGGGAAACCCTTCTCTCAGAGAGACCTCTATAAAGTTAGTCAAAATTAGCAAATGATCTTCAAAGTCTCTGGAGATTGATCAAAGTACTTACAACAAATGGAGAAGCATTTATTTAACAAAATCTGTGGACCTCAGTAAGAACAGTGGGAGGCTGTGGCATTTGAGCTAGGAACTACAACTATTCTCCCACAACTCTGCATTGCAGAAAAGCTGTTTCAGAACCATCTGGCAGTCAAGTGGTATTCCCAGCTCTCCCAACTCAACGGAGTAAAAGAGCTATTCCAAATGGTTGGACAGTGAATGTGGGGAGATCCTATTTTCTACAGCTCTGTAGCAGAAGGCCTATGTTGCATGAGTGGAGGGGACACCAGGCAGCACTGCCCATTTTTTCATCCTGCCCCAACTCCCTCTACGTAGGGAGGATCCAGGCAGAGTGGCTGGTGAAGGCTGTAGCAACCCATCCCACACTGCTCTGTATTTCAGGAAAGCTGCTTCAAAAGGTGCCAATTTCAGCAGTAGGTGAACACCAAAGATCTGGCAGTAGCACAAGTTCCTGCCCTTCCCCACTACACACAGCTCCCGGTTAAGGGAGAATCCAGGACAACAAAGGAGATCACCAAGAAAGTGTTGGTATCACAGAACAGTATTTGCAAATCATATACCTGGTAAGGGTCTAAAACAAACCAAAAAGATCAAACCCACTGCAACTGAGTGGATTCTGACTTAGAGAGACCTCTCACTGGGTTTCCAAGGCTGTAAATCTTTACCAAAGTAGATTGCTTCATCTTCTTCCATGGAACTGCTGGTGGGTTTGAACCACCAACCTTCTGGTTACCAGCCAAAATGCCTTACCCATTACACCACCAGAGTTCCCTTTAATAAGCGTTTAGTATATCCAGAATACATAAGAACTCTCACACTTCAGTAATAAAAAGGTAAATAATCCAATTACCAAATGGACCAAAGATTTGAATAGACATTTCTCAAAAAATGCTGGACATAATTTTCTAGTCATTAGGGAAATGCCAAATGAATTACAGCAAGATACCACTTCATACCCACTAGGATAGTTACAAGCAAAAAGGCACAAAGAGCTGGTAAGGAGGTGGAAATACTGGAACCCTCCTACACTGCTGCTGGGAAAGTAAAATGAAACAGCACTTTGCAGAAAGTTCAGCAGTTCTTCAAAAAGTTAAACACAGTTACCATATGACACAGCAATTCCAGTCCTACGTATACATCCAGCAGAAATGAAAACACATATCCACACAAAAAAACTTGTACCTGAATGTTCATAGCAGCATTATTCATAATAGCCCAAGATGAAAACAATCCAAATGTACACAAATAGTTAATAAAATGTAGCGTATCATACAAAAGAATATTATTTGGCAATAAAAAGAAATGAAGCACTGATATATGGATGACTACTGAAAATACTGTTCTAAGTGAAAGAAGGCCAAGAATATAAAATGTCCAGAATAGGCAAATCACAGAGACAAAAGACAGATTAGTGGTTGTCTAATATGGAAATGGAGGGAATGGGGATAGGTGTTTTGGTACAGGGAGAGTGATACAAAATGTTCTAAAATTAGATTAATGGTCATGGTTGCATAATTCTGTGAATACAGGCAATTCCTGGGTTATGAACGACATCTGTTTCTATGTCTTTAAATCAAATTTGTAGGTAAGTTTGAACAGAAGCATACAGTTCTTATTTTGACTTACTTTAGTGCAAGAAAAGGCTCACATCTTTTCAGTGATTTAAAAGCTGCATGTGCAGCAAGTGAAGGTGATTTTGGTGAGGAATTTGTTGTGGGTAGGGGTTGTTCAATTGTTTCAAAGTAAGGGCAAATTTATATAACATTAAAGGGCAAGTATGACCATAAATTAAACATTCATAATCTGTATAGTAAAAACCATTGAACTGTACCTTTTAACTGCTCAACTATATGAGCATTTAAAATCTATGAATTATATCTCAATAAAGCTGTTTAAACAATGACAAAAGTGGAAGTATAAGATCATGAAGCAAATTAGTAGACATAATGATGCTTCCATGGTACCACACTATAATCCTAACAGATCTACAAAACAACTACAGTTCTGAAGCACTGATTAGAACAATATTACTGAAGGCAGGATTTTAGAAATAATGTATAGTTTTTAGAAAATCATTTTATAGATTCATGTTCCTAACAACAGTACTACCAAATTTCACATTCATTTAGTTTCCTATAGTTTACCAAGGGCTTCTCCTCCAAAGAACCACACAAGAGACAGGAGAAAGTATTCTATTTTAAAGAAGGAGAAACTGATATTTCTCTTGTTCATCAAGTATGTACTGAGCATTTACAAGGTGCCTAGTACTGAGTCTGGTGCTTAAATTAATAACATATCTATTGCTCAGTGGAAGGAAGGAAAGCAGCATTTCCTAAGCACAGAAGACACACAAAGTGAATGGGAACTGTCTCTGCCCTGAAGGATATCTTATCTAATGAGACCAGTAAAGCTGTAAACAAAAAAACTCAGGATGCCCCAAGGAGCATGATATATCACCTAACCTACTTCTGAGAAAGCCAAAGTGAGCCAGAACTGGACAGGACTGCATTGTTTGTCCAGATCTTGCCTTCGACAAGGTTTTCAGCCTCTAACAGAGTGTCTTACTACTTTTCTATTGCTCCTTTTAGTGGAAAACACATGAGTTTTTCTTCTCAGACAGGTTTCTGCCTTACACATGTTCTGGCTTTTGCAGGTTTTACTAAGTTAGGGAAGGGGCAGGGGAAATAGTAGGAGTATGTGAAAAGACCAGGAGGCAAGAGAACAGGATGAGGTCAGGGAACTGAAAATAGTTCAATACAATCTGAAAGCAGAATGAAGGAAGGGATATAGAAGGCAATTCTGGTGTAAAGCTGGTTGGCACTCTAGAAAGCTTGTTAGAGCTGCAGTATGAAGAATGGACAAGGTAAGAGGAAGACTTGCAGTCATTCTTGCACCTAATGCAGTGGCAGTAGAACAGAGAAAAGCAAATGTTTTGAGAGATACTAGGGAAGAAAGCCATCCTGGTGACAGACAAAATTTGAAGAGTTAAGAGAAAAAGATTTCTGGTTTGTGCAGCTGGGTAGAAAATGGTGCCATCATAGATTCAGGGTACATAGAGGATAATGGATAAGTTAGAATGGAGAAGAGACAAATTCAGGTTTGGATAATTGAGTTTGGAGTGCTTACAGACATACATGGCTAAGTGAAAGTTCTAGTAGGCAGTTGGACAAAGGCCCAAAGCTCACAAGAAAGATCAGGGATATAGACAGGAATTTTGAATTTGTCAGTGTATAAATAAATGGTACCTAAAGCCAAGGAAATGGTGAGTTAAACCAGAAAGATGAAGGATTTAGGGCAGAAATTCAAGGAATGGGTAGGGATGATCAGAAGAAAAGGTTCTGAGAATAAATGACAGAAAGGTTTTTTTATTCTTCCTATTACTGGTGCTTACTGACCTCTGGTCAACTACAGATATAAATACTAATTTTGCCTTTATAGTACAAGGTGAGGAGCTCTGGTAGCATAGTGCCTAAGGCACTTGACCGCTAACCAGAAGGCTGGCGGTTCAAACCCACAAGCCACTCCTCGGAAGGAAGGTTGGGCATTCCTACTTTCGTAGTGATACTGGGAGCTCTGGTAGCATAGTGGCTAAGACACTTGCCTGCTGACCAGACGGCTGGCGGTTCAAACCCACCACCCACTCCTCGGAAGGAAGGTTGGGCAATCCTACTTCCGTAGTGATACTGCCTCGGAAACCCAAGGAGGGGTCGCTATGAGTCGGGGAAACCCAAGGAGGGGTCGCTATGAGTCGGGTTTGACTTGATGGCACATAACAACAACAACAACAACAACAACAACTGCCTTGGAAACCCAAGGAGGGGTCGCTATGAGTCGGGGCCGACTCGATGGCAAATAACAACAACAACAGTACAAAGTGATGGTAGTGTCGTGCCTAAGGCACTTAACTAATGAACAGAAAGCTGGCGGTTCAAACCCACCAGCCACTCCTTGCAAGAAAGGTTGGGCAATCTACTTCCGTAGTGATACCGCCTCGGAAATCCAAGGAGCAGTCGCTGAGTCGGGTCTGACTCAACCGCACATAATAAAAACAACAACAGTACAAAGCGATACAGTAACACAGGCCAAAAATATCAAAATGGATGGGCCTGAACTTCCAGAAATAGCAGTGAAATATAATTGCTGCATGGATCCTCCTACAAATAGCAATTATAAAATCTGGACAAATTATAAACTGTGCTTAAAAGTAGTATCCAAAAACTGTCAGAATCCAGAGAATTTATTCTGGTAAACTTGCAACTGGCAAGGGTTAGAATTCTAAGTTTTTAGGTTTCTTGCCTAAATGTGCTCTCCAACCTCTGTGGCTATGGCACTAGAAAGCAGTGATGGAAAACTGTACCTTTACCTCTTTTGAATAAAGAAAGGAGTTCAAGGCTGAAAGAAAAGCTGGAAATTTAAGGTGGAAATCCTAGAAGCAAGAGAATCACCAAAGCCCAACACCAAACCAGCTGCTATCAAGTCGGTTGTGTCAGATAGAAACGTGTTCCAGGTTTTCAATGACTGATTTTTCAGAAGTAGATCACCAGGCCTTTGTTCTGAGGTACCTCTGGGTGGACCGGAACCACCAAATTTTCAATCACCACTGACCAGGTTAAATGTTCTCACTACTCAAGGATTCCAAGAGAACCACAGAAGGGGTGAAACCCAAAATCTAAGTATAAAAACTACCCAAATCCGGGGTTGACTACTAAACTATGCAGGGAATCGACAAAAATGCAGGAAATAGAGTAATCTACTCTTGAAAGGCAGAGCTGCACTGGGGGAGTTCTGTAATTTTGCTACCTCTGTAACTAGATACTCCATCAGGGTACAACTCAAAACAGCAAAAAAGCTGAAGCCTTACTAGCTTGAGGGCAGAGCCTGAGGCTGGCAGATACAAGAATCCTGCTAACTTCTATTAAGTCAGATAAAACAATACTACTTTTCTCATTAATATTTTTCCTTTTGGAAAATATAGTTCTATTTTTCATTAAAATGTTATTTGTATTAACATTAATCAGTCAATGTTTGTTATTTTTAAATGAGGTGAGTAAATGTTAAAAACGTTCTTGGTTTTAATTCTTAATATCATACTACAGACAGATACAACCCACATAAACAAAACCTCTTTTGGGTCCTCAGTAATTTTTAAAAGTGTAAAGGAGTCCTAAGGCCACAATGTTTGAAAAGTCACTATTTTTATAAACATTTTTATACTACTACGTAGATGGAATTTGCCTTTTTCAGTGTCATTCTCAGATGAGTATACAGGGGACTTTTCTAGAGGACATGTGATGTGTCACACCTAAAAGACTGAATGCAAAAGTAAATAAAAGAATTCAACTGTCTAGCTACTAAACCAGACATTAAAGAGATCTCAACAAATGTAAAATAATGCTACTCTTCTAATTTTTTGGTTTTGAAAATAATTTCATTAAAATATTTCATATTAACTTATAATGAAATTATCATTCATTTATTTAAAGCAATAAGAAAACATATTTTTAAAAATTTATTTTAATTTCTAATTTGGTAAATATTGCCTGATACAACTCACATAAACAAAAGCTTCTGGGTACAAAAGGGTCTTGAAAACAAAAAGTCTGAGAACTAATGAACTAGAAGGACACAGTAAAATTCACAAAATCCAGAATGTGGGAAATCACAGGAAAAACAATCTACTTCATTTAACAAACTGTAAGGGGATAAAAAGGGAAGGAGAGTTTAAAAATTAGAGATCTAAGATGCACAACAAGGAGGTTTGGTGGCACAGTGGTAAAGTGCTTGGCTGCTAACTGAAAGGTCAACAGTTTGAACCCATCGGCCACTCTGCCGGAGAAAGATGTGGCAGTCTGCTTCCGTAAAGGTTTACAGCTTGGAAACCCTATGGGGCAGTTCTACCCTATTCTAGGGTCACTCTGAGTCAGAATTGACTTGATGGCAATGGGTTTGGTTTGTGCAAGGGGCACAGCAGACAAATATAATGTATAAGATTTATTTCAGTCCTGATTCAAATACACCAAATTGTTTTTTAAAAATGCCCAATTTTGCTTTTATACTCCCTAAAGAAGCAGCCAAACAGATCAATGTTCATATTCAGGACTCCATTTTCAAACTGTAGACTTGGACTAGTTTGACTCAGTTTCCTGACAGTGTTATTACGAAAATTAAATGAAACCGTGTATACAATGAGTATGCTAGTATTCTCTCTTCCCCTACTCAAAAACTGCAATAGTTCTCTAGAGAATAAAGTTCAAACTACAGTCAAGTCTAAACCTATTTTTCTAACTCCCACTGAAGTCTAACATAAATCTTCAACTGTAAACCAGGTCACTGGAACAACTTCACACCTCCACATCTTTGCTAAAGTCATCTAGAAGACACAACATTTTAGACAAATGTTAGGTAACAGTTATCACAGTGATTTCTCAAAAACATAAAAATCTTATTTAAATATTACAAAAATCCTTGGAGGTATATAGGATAGATTAAGTAAAGTAAAACTCAGGTTTTAAGTACTTAATACAAGAGCACAGTTTGGAAACAGGGCAACTTGAACCCCAAATACAGGAGTCTTTCCCTGTATCACGCAACTAAACTCTATTTTGTTTATAAAGGTTTGTCAAACTACTATATTCCTGAACTCCCACAATTATTTTCCAAACAATTCCAGTTAATTAAGTACTTCTTTGTGACTTTTGCCAATAGTACTTTAAAATACTATTTTATTTGAATCTTTTGTTATTTAGCTTTCAGCACAGGTAGCTCTCAACTTATGGTGTATTCAAGTTAAGAAGACCTGCACTTATAATTGTCCCTTTTTGTTTTTTTTTAGGTCTTATTGAGAAGATCTACTTCTGTAGTGAAACTGCCTCAGAAACCCAAGGAGGGGTAGCTATGAGTCGGGTTCGACTCAATGACATGTAACAACAACATTGTTAGTAATACATACTACATACAACGTTGCAGCATGCAATTTGATATTATCATTCTTGTGCCAACTCCTAAAGCCAAATAAAGATCAGATTCATAAAGATACTGATAATAATATAAATATTATTAATAGTATCAATAATAATGAAAACTTGGGGGAAAAAAAAGAGGTACGTGACTTACATCATAATCAACTTTCAACAGAGTTGTCAGAACAGAACCCAGTCCTAAGTTGAGGCCTATCTGTACTGTATTATAAATTCTTGAGGTCAGGTCACAGTATTTCCTTGTGTGTCTCCTAATGTGCCAGTGATAAATATATGATGATTAAATCTTAAACGAATTTACAGCCAATTTTCTATGGTATTGGAAGGGAGAAAATGGCGATCTCTGAGCTCATTTAAGCTAATTATTTAAACACTGACCTCTCTCCACATTCTTCAAATAAAAATAAAAAATGAAAAAACTTGTTAATAAGCAGAATTTGAGTGCTACTTTTCTATTTCCTCTCAATATTCTGGTATACCAATTCGAATGAGAAATTCTAAAAGATAGCAAAAAATCAAATGAGAAACAAAAACCATAATAAACCTCTGAATAACTAAAAATTGGCTCATGTCCTTCTGCCAGGGTACCATACTTAGTAGCACCATATTTACTTCTAGAGAAAAGCTCAGCGTTACTCTCTCAAGGATACGCTGTCAAAACTGCAGTTTTGCAAAGGAAGAATGCAGGGATGTTGTAGTGTTCAAACATTAATTCTGTCAGTTTCTCTCTCTTTGCTCTAGTATTCCACTTGAGAAGAAGGAAAAGAAATGCAAGTTATTTGTTGTTTGAATATTAAAATGTTGATTTATTTCAAGTTTCATTATAGCACTATATTAACAAAGATATAAAACATCAAAAATCAGAATAAAATACCACAATGGCCAATAATCTTTTATAATAATATTTCTTTATAATATTTAAATTTGAGCATAAGTAAAACTGTCTGCTGCTATAAATCACAAAAATTAGTTTTTAAAGTACTATATATGGAAGTCAAAATTCTTATAAATATAAATGTACTATTAAATTCTAAGAGTGAACCACAGTATTTGGCTATCAAAATCCTAAAGAAGAATTTTAAACCACCAAATTCTCACACTTATAGCTGGTACCAGAGTTTAGAAACAATAATCAAATATAGATAATATGTAATCATTATGCTAGTCTTCTAGGCCCATTTTGTCAATGTACCAAATGTGTTTTACAAGAGATGTTAGTGCAGCAATTTCAAGCCCGAGTTTAGCATTTCACTTCCCTCATGGAGTCCTGAATTTAAAAGGAGATATATACTGCCTTTGGGACACAAGGGACGATTCATAAACTAAACTGGGAAGCAGTTCACACAAAAAGGAAATTAAATGTTAAACCAATCCCTAGGGGTAAAAATAGCTACTAGAATCTATAAAAGGCTTTTGTTATTGTTTTTCTGAATTTTTTATTTTACTGAAAAAATAAAATAGAAATTATAATGCTTAAAACTAATCACTTCCCTAATTTTCAAAATTCAAAATATGAATTTCTATGCCTCTTTAAAGAAAACAGAAACATTCTTCAAATGAGGAGTAAACTAAAGAAAAAAAAAAAAACAACTATATAGAGAAACTTGGAAAAGAAACTCTGTCTCACCGGTGCTTCAGACATAAGAACAGGATGCAGGCTGGCTTCTGATTTGAAATGCATTTTGTAGGTATGATCCAAAATAGCCTGGAAACTATCCCAGTCTTCAACTAAAATGTAAGATCAACAGCTTGAAAGCAATACTTAGCATAAAGCATCTTTTGGGAGATTATTTCCATAGTTTAGCAGTTAATACCTGAACACAGAGAACCTACTTATTTTACAGATGGACCTTCTAACAAAGTACTTAACTGTATATAGGTCATCTTTAGTTTCTAGATACAGAACCTCTTTTTGGTCCCTCTAGAGGAGCTCTAGTAGCAAAGTGGCTAAGACGCTTGCCTGCTAATGGCTGGCAGTTCAAACCTACCAGCCACTCCTTGGAAGGAAGGTTGGGCAATCCTACTTCCATAGTGATACTGCCTCGGAAACCCAAGGAGGGGTCGCTATGAGTCAGGGCTGACTCGACGGCACATAACAACAACAACAACAGAGGAGCTCTGGTAGCATAGTGGCTAAGACACTTGCCTGCTAACCAGATGGCTGGCAGTTCAAACCTACCAGCCACTCCTTGGAAGGAAGGTTGGGCAATCTACTTCCATAGTGATACTGCCTCGGAAACCCAAGGAGGGGTCACTATGAGTTGGGTTTGACTCGACGGCACATAACAACAACAACAACAAGCCCTATCAGTATCATGACCCCTAGACCTGCATCTAATTAGACCTAAAACAGCAAATATTTAAAACAATTTCATGATACAGACCCGACTCTCAAATCTTATAATATATTTGAAGAAACAAGGCTAAAAGACATTAAATTTTAAAAAAAGAAAAAAAAATTGAGAGAATAAGACATCTTTAATTCGGCTTTTCTACTGAAAACATTCCACAGAAATTGCTAACGTAAGTCATTAATAACCATCTAAGATGCAAATCCAGTGGATACTTCACATTTCCAGCTTTACTTGACTAAATATTTGACACTACTGACTACTCAAGCCAAGGGCTTACAAAGTTTTTCTACCACAGTCCAGAGGAACATTAATTTGTAAAATATAGTTCTACAGGTGTATCTGGACTTTTTTTTTTTCCCAGTAGACTTCATTGATAACTTTAACTTCTTCTTCCCTTCTCAGTGTAAATCCCAGTGTCACAGTTGAGAATAATGAGTACCACTGGACTATTCTATGCTTCCACAAATTTTTTATTTTCTTGGCCTTCTCCAAAACTATTTCTTTTCGTTCTCTTCTTCTCTATTGTTAAATACAGGATAAGTTTTCATTAGGAACCCCATCATCAATCCTTTCCTTATACTCTTTCTGGGTAATATAATACAATTCCATATCTTAAAGTCTTTATTTCATGACCTTTTGTTCACCTGCTTACTAGATTGCCATCTGAATATCCCAAACACTTCAAACTCAGTAATAAACTGATCAACTTACTGTGAAGAAAAGAGTTAACATAGTAGGCCTGGGAGATTGCTATCCTTAGAAAGGCCTCCTTACAGAGTTAACCCTTGGCTGACATTGGGAACTGGTAAAAAGTAAGATTTGCTCACTGTGCCTGAACTGTTTCTAAAATGAGGTGGATATTCTGGACATCTACTTTCTTCTGGGAGTCTGGAATTTTGGTACCTACCAGGCAAAGGGTACCTGCATGATTAGCTCCTAATAAAAATCTTGGGTACTGAGTCTCTAATGAGCTTCCTTGGTAAATAATACATGCTGTTACAATTCAATACTGGACTAAGTATATCCTATATGACTCCAAGGTGAAAATATTCTTAGAAGCTTACACCTGGTTTCCTCTGAACTCTACCCCATGTCCCTTTGCTAATTTTGCTTTGTATCCTTTCAGTGTAATAAATCTTAGCCATGAGTAAAATAGAGACTGAATCCTGTGAGTCTCAGTGAATAACCAAACCTGGGGGTGGTCCTAACACACTTGCCTTTTAATATCTTAAAACTTTTTCCTCCTCTTTTTATTCCTATCTCACTGTGTGGTCACACAAATCAAAAATTCAGGAAACTTTCTCAATTCCCCTCTCCCTTTCACCCAATGACATGGTAACATTTTTCCTCTTAGCATCGCCACTGTCAATGTCTTACTTCTTATCAGGACTATCACCTCCTACTGAACTTCCTATTATATTGAGTGAAACCAATACATTACAGAAGGACAAATATTGTATGAGTCCACTATTGTGAAAAGTCAAGGAAAGGTTTACATATGGAAGGAAACTTTCTTTTTTGGTTACCGGGGAGGGGAGGGAAAGCTACTAGATAGGTAAGAGACAATTACTGATTGGGGTGAAGGGAAAGCCAATATACCAAAGTGAGTGACCAACATAACAACATGAAAGAAAAGGAAGATGCAGAGAGGTGCACAAGGGATATAGACAACAAAGATAAACCCTTTTATAATACTGCATTTTCAGTGATAACAAACACTAATCTATAGGTAAACAGATCTATAGGCTGAATGATCAGATATGTGTCTAGGCAAAAAGGAATATACATACCCATGATCATATATAAGGTTGGCAGATGATATTTCTACACATATATTTGTATGTGCTATAAAAATGTCCATACAACTAGAAAAAACAGGACAAAGTTATAACTTCTTAGGCACAGCTAACTACTCGGAGTAAGTTGTTGGACCTGTGGACTTAGGACCATGGTCACAGGGGACATCAAGCTCAACTGACATAGCATACTACATAAAAACATTGTTCTACATCCTCCTTTGGTAAGTAGCAACTGGGATCTTAAAAGCTTGCAAGCAGCTATCTAGATGCAACGATGGGTCTCTCCTCATTCAGAGCAAAGAAGAATAAAGAAAACCAAAGATGCATGGAAACAATTAGTCCAAAGGACTGGTACACCATGTGATCCTCAGCCTATATGACCATGAAGCCAGAAGAACTAAATGGTACCCAGCTGCCACTGTCACTTGGAGGGGGATTGGTGTAGGAGATCGTAGATAAAATGGGGGGACAATGTGGAACAAAACTCAAAATCATAAAAAGAAAAGATCAGGTTTACCAGTCTGATAGTACCTGGTGAAATCCCTGAGACTATGGCCCCTAGTCACCCTTCAGGTCTAGAATTGATCTTACTCCTGTGGCTTCCAGCCAAACAATAGACAGGTATATGGGGTGAACATTTATATCAGGTAGATACATTCCTTGAAGTGATCAATCATGGGAGAACAAAGGGCAATGTTTACACTGAGAGATAGTTCGGGGGGTGGGAGTGCATGGGAGGAAAGGACACAGAGAAGAGGTAACTACAGGGAGGAAGTGGGAAGAGAGCTGTTACACTGTGGGGAATTGTAGTCAATGTCATGAAGCAAAATGTATATGAACTGCTGTATGAAAAATCAATTTGTTCTGTAAACTTTCAGCCAAATCACAATGAAAAATTAAAACAACAAAAAAAGTAAGGCAATATACCAAAAGTGAGTGAGTGACTAGCAGATTAACACTAAGGAAAAGGAAGACATGGAGAGGTGAACAAGATGTACAGACAACAAAGGTAAATAGTTTTACATACATAATACTGCATTATCCATAACAGAAAACATTAATCTATGGGTAGATTCATGGGTAGACAGGCAAAATGATCATGTATACATAGGCAAAATACACAAGTGTGGCAGATAATATTTCTACATATGAATTCATATGTGTTATAGGAATGTCACATATGTAATATATATTTAATGGGGGAAAGTCATGATAACTTCCCAGTCACAGCCAAACACCTTGAGGGAGTAAGTCGCTGGGCCCATGGGCTTGGAACCATGGTAGTGGGGGACAGCTAGCTCAACTGGCATAACAGAAAAATACTGTTCTATATCCTACTTGGGAGCTCTGGTAGTGTAGTGCCTAAGGCACTTGACTGCTAACCAGAAGGCTGGTGGTTCAAACCCACCAGCCACTCCTTGGAAGGAAAGTTGGGCAATCTACTTCCATAGTGATACTGCCTCAGAAACCCAAGGAGGGTCGCTATAAGTCAGGTCCGACTCGACAGCACATAACAACAACAACAAAAATAGCAACATCCTACTTTGGTCTTAAACTGGGGTCTTAAAAGCTTGCAACCAGCCATATAACATGCAACAATTGGTCTCTTCTCATCTGCAGCAAAGAATAGGGAAGAAAATCAAAGATGCATGGAAACAATTAGTCCAAGGGACTAGTAGACCATGGGAACCTCAGCATACATGACTCTAAAACCAGAAGAACTAGATGGTAGCTGGCTACCACTGCCAACCACTCTAAAAGGGCTCCAAATTAAAGATCCTGGACAGAGTGGGAGAAAATTTTGGAACAAAACTCAAAATCAAAAGAGACCAGGCCTTACTGGTCTAATCCCTGAGACAATGGTCCCTAGTCACCCTTCTGGCCTGGAATTGAACTCACTCCTATGGCTTAAATTCCAGCCAAACAGGCTACGAGGGAACAATTACACCAGGTAGGGACACTCCTTAGAACAATCAATCATGGAAGATCAGAAGGGTAGCATTTGCACAGGAAATAGCTCAGAGGGCAGGAAAATGTAGGAAAGAAGGATGCAGGGACAAGGTAACCACAGGGAGGAAGTGGGCAGAGAGCTGTTACATTATGGGGACTGCCATCAATGTCATGAAACAAAATGTATATGAACTATTGAATGGAAAAAATTTTCTCTGTAAACTTTTACCCAAATCACAATTTAAAAAAAAAGAAAAAAGAATAATCTTTCCGACTGGCAAATACAAACATACCACATCTCCATTTAAACTCCTTTGTGGTTATTCTTCAGTTACTAGCTTAATAAACCCCCGGAATGGTTTGTAAGCACTTTTATGACTGCTCTCTGCCTACCTTTCCTACTACTGGCCCTAATACACCCAATGTTGCACCCATATTTAACTACATGGCATTCTTAAACATCTGTTTCTTTCACACCTTCATCTTTCAATACATGCTGGTTCCTCTGCTTTACCCAGCCTTGTCAGACAGGCTAATTCTCACTCATTGATCAAAATTCAGCACAAAAGGAACCTTAAACCAAAAATATCCAGAGGTCTTTTTAAGACCATACAATGGTTTAACTTGACTAGTTAAAAAAAAAAAAAAAAGGTTTGTCTAGAGCATTATGCTCTTTCAAGCATTATCTATATGGGATCAAATTGACAACAGTAACTTGAAAGATTAGATAGGAACCAGAGGAGGGCAGTGAATAGATTAATAGCAGAGAACAACTCAGAAAAGGAGAGTGAGAATGGTTGCACAACCGGAATATAATCAATGACATGCAGAAGCTGTTGGTTGATACATGTTTTGCTGTGTATGTATATTCTCAACAACAAAATAAAAAATAAAGATTCAGTGCAAAAGTTATGTCCCTTTTGAAAACCATCCGTCTCCCAGTGACAGTTAACCACCTCTCCTCTGTTATCCCACTGCATACTGAACATACCACTTATCTCACAGAGTACCATATGTGTATGTATACATCTAATTCTCCTATCTAACTAAGAGTTTCTTAAGGAAAAGGATCAAGTTTTACGCATCTCTTTATTCTCAGTTCCTGGCACATTAGTTTGTTTGTGAAAGAAAAATAAAAAAATACATGTTATGTTCAACTTACAAGAAACCACTGCTTTAAATCTAAAATCCACCATGTACTTATAATACATGCACCATGTATTTATAATCAAATCCATGGAAAAAACATACCCATCCCATTTTTTAGTGGTGAAATAGCATCCATGTTCTCCCTTGGCACACGCAGAGCATTGGTATCTATGTAGTAGGTGGGACCTCCTTGTTTGCCTTTATCACCATCTATTTCCATCAATGTACTTCCATCATCTCTTTCTGACACCATACCAATAGCTGTGGGGAAATCTACCTGTAAGAGACAAAAACATCAAGGTTCACCTGCTTTTGTCAAGTAGTCATTTTTTCCCCCAAAAAAAGTTTTTTACCATATTTGCTTTGAATTAGAATTTCTGCATGAATTTAATTCTACATGAACTGCTCTGACTTATCCAACTTACAGTGTACTTACCTTAGGGCAATCCTCACCAGCATAACCAGCTCTCACAGTATACGATCCAATGTCAAAAACAAGGGCTCCAACTTCATCTGAAAAGATAAAAATATAATTAATAGCTTGCAAATATCATGTAAGAATTTAAGTACTTAATGATATGATGTATCCAAAAACTCTATAAAATTTAAGAGAAGTATTACATTCATAGTATTACTAGCTTCCACCAATTTGAAATACATCTCAAATTAAATATTTATTTAATTAAAATATAGTAAGCTATGCAATGTGTATCAGTAGAGCTTTAATCAGGAAACAGATGTTACACTAAATTTGAATAATGTGAGGGAAAGGGATTATTTACAAAGATATAGGCATGATATAGGAAAACTAGAAGGGACAGTGCAGTAGGTTTTAAAAAAAAAAAAAAAA